TCATTAATGTTACAATTTTATTTATCTTATTTGTCCGTTGCGTTTAGCGGTTTCTGACCCGTTGAACTCCTTCTTAGTCAACGCCTTCCCCTCAAATTCTCCACATTTTTTTCTCATTTATTTTATTTTTAATTTTTTAATAATAAATACATGTTTTAATTTAGTATATTATTTAAAAATTTTTAAAAATGAAATTTAATATATATATATATATATATTATACATGGGTATATATTATATGAGAACAAGAGAAGCAAAGTAGGTCCATAACTTAAGATTTGTATCATGAAATAGCATCATTTACTAAATTACATATATTTTAGGGGGCATACCATGTAAAGATTCGTCCTTACATAAATGGTTAAATAATAATAATAATAATAATAAATTATAAAAAAAATTACTCGAGAAATTTATGATTTCTCCATTATTATTTTGTTATAGTCCACCGCAAGGAAAAAACAAAGCATATATGTTTAAATTAAATGCTATATTTAGAATTTATTTGGAAGTTTTTGATATTTTTTTTATAATTTAATATAAAAATCTTAAATTTTAACAATACTATTTTAAAATTTCATATTTAATTATCTAAAAATAATTTATTTATTCCAAAAATAATATTTTGACTCTTAATTTAAAATGAACATAGTATGATTTGATACATGCCCAATTGATACCCATTTCTCCTTAATAGCAACAAAAAAACAAAATACTTTTATTAGATTATGGTAGTGATAAAAGTAAGTAATTAGTAAATTAATGTGAATTATATATTTTCTTACCTTAATTTATAAATTTCAAAGAAAGTGAACTAGTTAAAGTTTTAGTGTATAATTGAAGGGTCCACTCCTAGTTTCAACTTTCACACTTGTGTGTGATGGGATTCATGTGAGGCTTTTTATAATACATATTCTCACATGATCCAAAAAATAAAGTGACTCATTTACAGCTCTTAACTTCATAATTTATCTCAAAGTTTCCATATAAGAAAAAAAATACTTCTTTTTCTTTTTTTTGGATAATATATATAAAGATCGTGACGAAACTGTAATAATTATATAATGATTTTATAAAAGTAAATCTGAATTTAAATTATCATGATTGTATTAGATTAAATTTAAAACGAAAACGTACATGAATTTATAACGGAAGAAATATGCACGTTCTGTGATATATCTTCTAAATCATTACATGATCATTTGAAATTCTTACGCTATTTTTATATTTGATAATGAGATAATAGAATTAAAAAATTATACGTCTATTTATATATTTAGTTTTTTATTATTAAAATTAATATTTTTATTATCTGTGCACATAAAAAAAGACTTACGTTTTATTTGATGCATTAAAATTTAATAGTTATTTATGTACAATAATTCTACGTATAAACTCACAGGAGTTATTAAAATTCAACAAATTAATTTGATAAAATTTAAAATTTATTTTATTTTTATATTAATAGAATTAAAATAATTAATTTGAGGTTTATCTAAATTATTATAATATTTTTAATAAAATAAATATTTATAACAGTTATATTTTAATAGTCCAAATAATAATAATAGTTGAGATTATTTATTTTTCTTTTTTTAAAAAAAATTAATAATTGGTTATCTTCCATTAAAGGGCGGGTAAGCTCTACTCCACAACTAAGCAAGCATCAGCGTGCAGACAAATTTATTCTTCTCTTCTTCCTTTCTTTATTCTCTCCCAACTTAATTTTAGTTTTGAATTTCGGTGATTCATTCTCTCCTTTCTTCTTCCTTCTTCTCTCTCCTTTTTCTCTGTGTTTATTTTATAACACCACCGATTCCTCAATTTTTCTTCAGAAAAAATTAAACTTCATATCTGGGTCGCCTAAATCTTACTGGTATACTCTCTCTCTCTATATATGTGTGTGTATGTGTATCTACTTGGTTGCTTCACTGATTTTCCTGACTAATAAGATCTGCCATACGGGTTTTTGGTGCTTTGAAGAACAAGTTTATTTATTTTTGTTTGTACAGTGATTATTATTATTAATTTGTATGTTTTCTTGTGCCCATTTATTTGTTATGAAGAGTGATCCTTGAGTGATGAGTCTGGATCTTGAAGGTTTCTTTTTAAAGCTTCCTTCAAAAAAGAGCTTGAATATTTGCTCTCTGATTTTTTTTTTTTAAATTTTTGTTGCTTTTTTAAAAAAAAAAAAATATTTCCGGGTTGCTTATAAGAAGATTTCATCAGTAAACTGGGTCTTGCTTTTGTCTGGATACTTTCCTGCATTTCGTTATTATTTTTTGTTTGATTGAATTGCAAATTCTTCCATTTTAGTGGTGGGTTAAGAACTGGAAGCTGTGTGCTTGATAAGTTTCTTTACAAATTTCCTATATGTATTATTATTTTTTTCCTTTTACCCAGAAAATATCTAGATCAAATACGATTACTACCCTCTGTTTGGTTGCTGAGAAACATGAGTGCTGGAGGATGAAAGTACAATTATAAATCCAGGATCCTCAAAGCCGGTGTTAATTGAATTTGGCTGATGTCAACTGCGTTGATTTTTTCTTTTCTTTTAACTGGGATTGAAGATAATGCATTAAGCTAGTATCAGCAATATAACAGAGCATAACAAAAGTTTATAATACATGAAGTTATTTGGGAATTTTGAAATAGAAACTGGGAAAAAATAAGCGACGTCTAAATGGGAGAAGCAAGAAATTTTATGTAAGTTCAATGAAAAAAAACTTTGCAACCAGGTAATCTTGATGTTTCACATTTCCAGGACTGCAATTTATGATAAAGTTCCAATGTACATGATCTTAGGTGAAATACAGTTCCTGTTTCTCCTTGCTCTCAGAATTTGAGGTGGCTAATGCAAAGAAAATACTGTTTAGTGGGGAGAAATTAGAGTATATATTATCTTAAGTTTTATTTGATGTTTGGTTTTTGATCTTATTCTTATGGAAATTCTTGGACAACTTCGAATTACTTGTTTCTGGTTTTTGCCAGTTTGGAGTTATATATGTGGTATTTGTGCCGTGCAGAAGCAGATAGAAGATACATGTTACTCAAGAATTTGATGGAAGAAAAGCAACTGGATTTTAATCAGCCACTTTTATCTGTAAGGAAGTTCTCATCGACATTACCCCCTTCAGAAACAAAGGGCAGAAAGAAGCCTGATAGTTCTGTTCCCAGTAGACCTCCTCTTCCTGTTTACAAATCAGAAATTAAATCAGGTCCTGTGAGGAACCCAGGAACAGTTCCTTTTATTTGGGAGCAAACCCCAGGAAGACCTAAAGATGAAAGCAAATCACAAGCTAAGGCTCTCGCAAATCCATCTATTGCCCCGAAGCTTCCGCCTGGGAGGATTTTGAATGGTAAACAACGGTCTTCAGATAAAGTTTCTGAAGTTAAAACAGTTGGTCAGTCTCAAGTTGAAACTGTCCCTTCTAGTTCTGAAAACCTTAGATTTTCGGAGAAAAATGCGAGTACATGTGAAAGCTCTAGGGAGGAAATGGAAGAGACAGGAAGTTATGTCATAGATAATGATGATGAAGCATATGTGGATGCACTTGACACACTTTCACGAACTGAATCATTCTTCCTGAATTGCAGTATAAGTGGTGTTAGTGGGTTGGATGATCCGGATCTGAAACCATCTGGAATCTTCTCTGCGGATCCACAAACTCGGGATCTCATGATGGGGCGATTCTTGCCTGCTGCAAAAGCAATGGCTTCAGAAGCGCCTCCACATGCTATCAGAAGACAACCCCATTGCAAATGAGCAGCCAAGACAGACAAAGATGATAGTCAGCAGAGATAAGCAACAGCCAAATTACCAATATAGTCCAAACAGTTTCTTACATAATGCACAGAATAAAAGATGGGACGAAAATAGTAGTGATGATGATGATAATGTTGGACATGAAAACTCATCAGTTGGAGTTTGTGGATTATTCCCTCAACTTTGCTTGAAAAATTCCTTTTGCGTTCTGAGTCCCGTGCCAGGGATAAGAATGCAGGGCCAAAGACCGGCTTCTTCTGTTCGTAGACTTCATGCTAAGTATTTAAATGCTAGATCTTGCAGTGAAACAAAGAATGAGGTATTGAAGTTCTCTTCATCTATCCTTGCTTTTGTTAATTCCTCTCCTTTCTGTTAATTACTATTTTCAACTTCTGGAAACAACTCTTTCCAAAATTAACCTTTCTTCTTTTCTTTATAGCATGCCAGTTGTGCTGCAAATGAGCAAAGATTGACAAGGGGCCATCAAAAAAAGGAGCTGCATGAAGATAAGATTCAACTAAAAAGGGTATCCAACCGGATTACTTGTGATAGTTGGAAATCTAATGGATCTCCGAACAGACATTTACAGATTAATGAGTTGTTGCCTTCCCGAAATGGATTAGTTCCCACAGCAGTCAATCAGGGGCAACAGTCTCTTGGGTTTCCTGAAAAGGATAGAACTTTTAGGGTCAATGGCATTGACTCACAGAGAGGTCCAAAAAGTTTTCAAGAACTATTGGCCAGTGATGAAAGTAAATGGGAATCTGGCTCAGGGAGTCCTGTAGTCGAGAAAACGCTGTATATAGATTCTGTACATACAATAGAATCCCCAAATTTATATTCAAGTTCATCGGATACAAAGGAGATAACTGATAATCAAGGAGATGATTTTGAAGTTCATCCAAGAAATGGGGAAATAGAAGAAATTTCTTCTGTGTCTTCTTCAGTTCCTGAGAGCAATCAGTTAAATGTTGTGGATGAAAAGGCAATATCACAAGTTAAAAGTCTTGTGCTTGTTGACTCCAATATCAAATCCTCTCCTGACATATTGGCTAGTGAGAAGCACTCGGATGGTCTCAAGCATGATGAACATCAAGATTCGATCAAGTCAAGAAGTCACAAGATGGTTGAAAATGGGAAGATTTATCTAGAAAGCCAAGTGTGTAATAAACCATATAATCTAGATGGTACTCAATGCCTCAACCTGGATCATATTGCACTAATGAAATCAAACGTGGGTGATACTGAGGTTATTGGTTCAGAAAGGAAATCACATGTAAAATCAAGTAAGAAAGAAAATCCTGATGACATGTATCGAAAACATCCTCTACCTCCGCCTTTACCAAAATCTCCATCCGAATCTTGGCTGAGTCGTACATTGCCTACTATTTCAGCAAGGAATTCACCTTCATGGTCTTCTCCTGGTACAAATAATTATACTAGATGTCAGCCTTTCAAAACCCCTTCCGAAGATCCTAAGTGGGAACTTATTGTTAAATCTTCAAATGTGCAGCATGGCCACTTGAGGTTTTCTTCGGTAATAACATCTCCTTAATTATTTCTATCTTCTGCCGTATGGGTTGAGACACAAGCTTCGTTTTTTAATCTTTAGGATTTAAATTCATGTATGCTCACTTCACATCCTAATGCTTATCATGGCAGGAACTTCTTGAACCTATACCAGAGGCTTAGCTGCATAGAAGCCTCCAGTCCGCAACCTTATAAGTTCCTTTTGCCAGTACAGGGTGCTTCATACGCTTTTTAATATCTTAAAGAAGTTTTCCACCATAAGGAGCTCTATTTATTGATTTACTTGGTATGTATAACAGGTAACTGTAAATCTCCACGGCTACTCCTTGCAGTTCTTGGATGGCTCTTATAATCTGTAAATCTCATCAGTATACAAAACCTGGTCTTCTGTGATTCTTTTTTTTGTAAATGGAAGTTAAGGGCTCTGTTTTTCTTTCCTGGTTTTTAGTGGATAAATATAATAAACAAGCAGAATGCTAGTTTGGAGCTATGTACACAACTATCAAGAATCAATGGAGTTCAAATAATTATGGCTTCATTATTGGAAAGAAATGATGCTGTCTTATTTTGAGATTCATGCTTAGAGATTATCATATAAAGTTTAAAAGTTGATATGATAATTCATTATAGTTGGGGGAATAATCTTTGCATATGTATTTACTCGAATCAATATCAAAAAATGCATAGTGATTTTGTATATGTATATGTATTTGATGGAGTCAATATATGAAAAGAATCAAAACGGATAGGACAGGTGAACCGCTCAGATCAAAACTCTAAAATGAAGGGTCTAGACATTTTTTTCTATTTAAAAGTTAGATACAGCTAGTGGCCTTTGATGTTTCTAAAGACCACCCTTATCCCTTTTTTTCGTTTCCCAGTGTGTATGTATATTCCCAAAACACTATTTAATAAAAATATAGAAAAATAATTAATGAGCATTAAATGTTCTTTATCCTACCTAGCTAATCTTTTTTACATAGTATAAGAGCAGTGCCTGTGATAAGTACTGATTTTCTTGATTTTCACATTACAATATTCCCCTACTGCTCAATGACAAACCCTAATACAGATGTAGTGACACTCCTAAGCTCAGACCAGCCTGAAATGCAGCTCGTCACAACCACACTTGATGGATCTAACTACTTGTTTTGGAGCCGAGCCATGGTGATCGCATTGAGAGCCAAGGATAAGCTTGCCCTCGTCGATAACAGATGTAGAAAGCCCGAACCCGATGTTGTAGAATATGAGCGATGGCACAAAATAGACAGCATGGTGGTGTTTTGGATTCTGAACACGATGAATAAAGAGCTCGCTAGCGCCTTCTTGTTCACCACATCAGCAAAAAACCTATAGGACGAAATAAAAAAGAGATATGGTGAAAGCAACGGATCTCTGTCATATTAGCTAAAACCCGAAATAAGTTCCATCATGCAATCTAACCTTTCTGTCACAGCCTATTACACAAAACTCAAAAGGCTGTGGGATGAGTTAACACACCTAAGGCCTTCACCTGCTTGCACCTGTCATGCTGCAACACAACACAGTGAAATAGATAATACCGACAACCTAATTCAATTTTTAATGGGTCTCAATGACTCATACGACCATGTTAGAAACCAAATATTGATCATGAAACCCTTACTTAGAGTAAATAGAGCTTATTCCATGGTGATTAGCGTTAAAAAACATATGAAAATACACAATAGTAACTCATTTGAGGGGTCACCTGCTGCATTTTATACCAATATGAAAGACAACCCAAAATTTCCAAACAAAAAAAGGGAAAAGGACAGCAGGGCATGCACCTACTGCAAAAATACATGACACATAAAGGACACTTGCTTCAAGCTCCATGGCTACTCGGAATGGTTTACAGAATTCAAAGGGAAAAGGAACAAAGAAAAGGCTAATGCAGTGGCAAACAATACCTTTGATAACGCCAAAGCAGAAGTATCTAACACAAACTAGGGCACAGAAATGTCCACACTCATACAACAAGAGATCAGCAAGTATTTGAAAAACTAAGGAGCAAACACAGCAGAATCTGCAGGGTGCGTGGGCTACTCTGGCCCCCCTGGTAAGCAACTTAAATGTTGTTTTTTACATATCTTTAATGACATAGGAACTTGGATAATAGACACAAGTGTTACATCACACATATGCCGTGATCTTAAGATGCTTTCAGAACCCATAAAACTAGAACCTGCAGTGCCCGTCTCGTTACCAGACGGAACCACGAGCCATTCAACCCACAAAGGAACTATAAGACTATGTGACAACTTAATTCTACCATATGTTCTTTATATACTAAAATTCACTTACAACCTTATTTCTGTCAGAAAACTAACCCAAGCTACAAATACCTACATTTCTTATTATCCCAACCATTGTTTTGTGCAGGATTTGACAACTAAGGAAACATTGAGGATGGAAACAATAACGAAGGGCCTGTACACCCTGAGTGAAGACATTGACCCTAATAAAGCATATATCAGCCACATCCAACAAAATAACCTACAACTATGGCACAAAAGACTCGGCCACACATCCACACAAAAATTAATCCACATTCCTAATTTAAAGTTACCAGGCAGTGCAGCTTTACATGATTGTGAAATATGTCCCTTGACAAAACAACAAAGCTTATCTTTTTCTAAAAATTTCATCAATACCAGTGACATTTTTAGTTTAATACATGTTGACCTTTAGGGACCGTACTCGGTTAATTGTACCTCTGGTGCACTTTATTTTTTAAGCATACTTGATGATTTTTCAATAGCCACTTGGACTTATTTATTAAAAGAAAAAACGAGCGTGTCAAATACTTTGGAATACTTTTACAATCTAATACAAAAACAATTTAAGAAAACAATCAAAAAGGTTAGGACAGACAACAGTACTGAGTTCATAAACATTTCATGCAAAAAAATTTTTCAAAAAAAGGGTATCGTGCATCAAAAAATCTGTAAATACACACTACAACAGAATGGGGTGGTGAAGAGGAAACATAAACACCTACTACAAATTGCTAGGGCATTAATGTTTGAATCAAAACTACCCAAAAATTTTTGGGATGAAGTCATACTCACAACCACACACATAATAAATGTTTTACTAAGCTCTGTTTTAAAATGAAAAACTCAAACCTAAAAACTTTGGGTTGCTTATGTTTTGCCACAAATGTCATCTCTCAAAAAGATAAGTTTGAACCTAGGGCTTTGAAGTGTGTTTTCTTAGGGTATGCACCCGATGCAAAGGCTCACAATTATATGACATAACAAGCAGAAAAACGGTTTTTTCAAAGGATGTCATATTTCATGAACATATTTTCCCATATGAAACAGAACACCCTAAACCAGATTACCATGACACACCACTGTCAATACCAAATGACGACACAGTAAACACACCTGAAAACCAATTACAAAGAAAAGAAGAAACTCCCTTATCAACTAGCACTCCCCAAGAGTCTGAAGTGAGGAGGAGCATCAGGGTGAAAAACAGGCCCGCCTGGATGGAAGACTTTGTCGCCCATACCACTGAACAACCTTTGTCTGAGCTTCCTTTCCTCATGTCCACCTCACCTACATACAACCATGGTTATGTTAATTTCATTGCACAAGTGTCTATTAC